TCATTGGTTACGGCCGGAGCTCAGGGGAAGCCGTTCAATGATGTGTATGGACTGGGAATACTAGAAAATTCGACCAAGACTTAAGCAATACTTGTGTTAACAAATTTCATTGATAGACTTACCCGTCAAAACCAGCGTTGTTCTAAACATTGAAGTGATTAGACGAGGAAAACGGTAGGGTTCGATAAATATACTGGGGTACACACTACTGTAAAGACGTGTGCACACTTTCAAATCGCCCGTAGTACAGAATCAGCGATATTGGGTAGCAAGTTCATACAAGTGGAATCAGTATAACCTTGACGTAAAATGACACTGTAAATGTTGAGATGCGCCTTGCATCCTAAAATATATCCGCAAGTGCTGTAAATGCCTATTGTGTTGAATAACGAAGGTAGAAAGATCACTGGTTCAATTTTTTAAGCTGTCAGCAGCGGTCGACGCAATGGAAGTTCAAACTATTAAGGCGAAACGACCCTCGCTAATCCAAGCCATATTTCACGTCAAGAAGGTATCTCCGGTGCTCGAGGGTCGCGCAAACAGGGAAACGACGATCATGCTACTTTGAGTACAAAATGCGGCTGCTCGGGATCTAAATCTTCAGGTATTTGACCGTTGATGTGTACATGCAACAGCACGCGTTCGGTGTCACCATCTGGTAAGCAATAATGAGACTGGCGTGCAGATATTTGGTAGTGATGGTCGAGCAAATTCATCCACCCAATTTCTTAAGAATGTATGGACTAGTCTGCCATTCGTTCTGAACGTTGCAGCCGAGTGACACGAATTGAGGTAGATAAACGATGGTTTAATGCAGGGAAGCGAAAATGGCCGTTGGTCGCCTGGAGTTGAGGTCCTCATGACTGATGGCCGCAGGATTCCGCAGCCGGCCGTGCTCGGCAGTATGTGTTGCCGTTTTTCACTGAGGGGGTGGTGAAGTAGGTGCAGCCAACGAAGACGTTGAGAGCTGCAACATTAAACGCCACCCCATGGACATGAATGACAATGGACCGGGAAGCTCTGCTGGTGTGCAGTCTACTGGAGGACTCGATGGCCAGATTGTGTCAGTCCTGTCGTTCATCCGGGTTTTGGAGCTAAAGCTTAATTTAACAAGTTAGGGACATTTCACACTGGACTGATATGTAATACGACTCGTGTTTCAATTTCGCTAACTGCAGAGTCGTGCATAAATTCTTCTACCCGATGCAATACTTCGAAAAACCACCAGCAAATGCTTTTTATCGCGACTAAGCTTTGTTTTTTGACCCCAACTTTATCAATCAAAGTGAGCCAGTTTGAACTCCGTTTAATGCAACCCATGGACATGACAGCGATAAGTATTTGACTTTAGACTCTCGTGTTCTGTCTGGCCAAGCATCACTTACTCCCAACCCAGGGCTACTTTTTTCCCGGCGGTTAAGTATCGCCAGGACATTATTGCCGACGACGTTGCCAAAGTACACGTAGCAGATCGCAATTGTAAATAATGTCTGCGTTTGGTTTGAAAATCGCCAAATAAACTCGGATACCCACCGTGGCGAGCACTGTAATTATTATCAATCACCCCCAATTCATAGCGATCGGATGGCAATACCAATTTATGTAAATGTCCTACCTCCTGTTTTGTATCAGACTACATAAACTGATGAGTACAAAACATTTATTGCATAAGTACACTAAGCCAGAATTCCGGAACAGAAAAATAAGGATATTTTGAAATAAAAACATGGTTATAAACAGTTCAGTGTTTAAGGAACTATCGCATTGTACGCGTCAACGCAGAGGCCCTCATGGTTTTCTCGGCTGTTTGTTTCTTCACCTTGTCCACTTGGAAGCAATTCCATATTCGCAACGTCTCATCGGAGGCACAACTAGCTACCATTTCGTTATTGGGCGAGGAGGCGATGCACAGCACACGACCTTGGTGCTCTACAACGGAAACCAAACGGAAGAGGTTATGAACAGTGCAAGCGTCCGCTTCTTGTAATGCAACGATCGATAGAACATGCTTCACATCTCTAATAATGCTTTTGAGAACAATGCAGAGCTGTTCTGGCCGTGAGCAAAATGTGCCTCAAGCATAAGCCGTGTGCAAAAAGAATTGGAAAACCAAGGTGAATTTGCTCTCAGGACCTTAGAGCCGGTGGGTATGAAATAGATAAGTAGCTTTTCATTGTCACCGGAGAACGAAATTATGTGCAGCACAGTGCTTGGCATGGCAATCGGTAGAGGTTAATACAATGGACAGCGAAAACTGGATTCTCAGAACGCGTTGTATGGAAAAGATGGAACAAAACGAGTGAGCAACTACACAGCAAACCAGTGGGCCAATTGGTCTGCGCCACACCGTGGTGACGGAGAAGTGTCCATCAAACAAACGGCAAATTGCAGCCCGCTAGTGAAACATGCTAACTCTGCCACAGATGTCCCTATCCCAAGATATATGCATAGAACACCACGACAAAAGATCCCGTTCTTGGCTTTGACTGAAATGTCTACGAATCGTCTGTCTAAGGTCATGATGGATCGCGTTAAACGGAGACTAAAAGTGTCACTGAGGCTTCCGAAGATTCGTGTACTTTCAGGGTTCGTTAGTAACTTGAGCGCTTCGATCACAAACCCGTATTTGGGTGATCAACCGTTGACACTGAAGCTGCAACTGGTGTTTGAAACTATGAATTCGAACGAAAATGATATCATAAGAAGGATGTTTGGAGTAGGGCTGAACGTTTGTCATCGGGCAGGAGTGCGGATTAGTCGTATGGATGAAACCAAACTAATTAGAAGCTAGGGAAGGGTGGTTCGTGGAAGATGAGCGAGAACCACGGTTACAAACGGTCGCGGTTCAAACCTGGACATAATTGGCGCCACTGATGATAAACTACGAGTTCGAACGAGGTTCACTTACGGAAGATGCACGCCAACAATAAATAAGATGCTTGCTGAATAGAATTAGTGAACAACCCAGTCGTCCCCCGGACATTTGTGGCAATGTGCCGTGGCAACGTAGTCTTGTTGGATAGGCATATTTGGAAAAACAACAACCACTCGCTCTGTATTCCCTAACGCTCAGTCTCATAAGAGGAATTTGAGGTATCGTGAAATGTGGCGTCGAGCAGGACATGAGAAAATGAGCAATCAAGGGATACTGCGAAGGTAAATCACAAAGACCTTCGCACAAAAGGAGTGGCGAACACTTCTATGATATTGCTGCTAAAAGTGTGGAGTGTCTCGTTCTGCCTGAGTATGTCAGAAAAGCAGTGAGCCAGTCTACTGAACGATAACAAGATGCTTAAAAGATTTAAGAACATCGCGACTAGAATGTCGATTTTTGTGTTATTGAGTGGGTTACTCAGAACTCTGAGACGAAATCATGTAAACGGTACGGGACATGTATCAGTGCACGAAGCGTCTATGTCCGACTAGCCGATCCACCCAAGACCGATTCTGCGTGAGAAACAATCGAGTATGGTCGATTGACATTCTTCGGTGCATCGGTTCTAGTTCATAGATAGAATAGATCAGTGTGGACGTCTGACATACATTGGGTATCCCCGACATTCGCATCTCATAACACATTGGCTTCAGCGCGGAATTCGTTCACCGTTGGTAATCACTAGGCTTAGCATCTTGTCAGTGAGTAGTGTTTACAGTCAAACCTCCTACCTTTTCACCTATTGCAAATCACATTGGAATGGCGAAGTCCTGTCTTTTACTTCTTAGGATTCAATCAGAAAGTCGCAGTCAATAGCAAAAAGATTGAGAACGTAAACAGGGTCATGACGTACTTTAAGTAATTCTTGAACACAGTAACTCACAAAACGTATAGACTCCAGTATCCGTCTCGTTACAACCTGTCGGTGTCTGCTTGAATCAGGAGCTGAAGTTACGCACGCTCAAAACCAAGTGTGACGAAATCATCACGTATAAAAGTTTAGTCACAGTTATTTGTGATTGATGAAGCCATAGAGATAGACCACACATATCTGCTACGAATGTGGAAGCTATCATCAAACGCCAACATAGTACAACTTGTAGTATGTGACTTGTACTGCATGAGAGAAAACAATAATTACGCAGTAATTTAGTGGCTTTCCTCTTGACAAATGTAACGTACCCATTAGTTCCGCGACCGGACAGATAGCTGGATATCGCCACAGAACCAGTCGATTTTTTGGCGTGCCGTGTGAGGTGACCAACTCCCGATATTCGCTGTTCCATATAATACCTGAAACCTAGCGACCAAGAAAAAGAAAACACTTCACCAAAGAATACAATACATGGAAGGCTCAACCATCAGTTGCGCGAGTCACGGGTACGGATAGTACTGGTACGTGACACTTAGCACATACTTCAAAAGAGAGGTCTAAACATCACCAACCTAACTAATATTCTAAAATAAAGTAGTCGGCAAACGAAAACCAGTTGGTGTCTCCAGATTTCTCCACAGTATTTGACCAGGTTGACCGGTAGATCCAGCGCGCTACGCTACGTCAATATGGGATAGGTGGGTCTTTACTTCTGTGGCCCAGCAACTATTTCAGGAATCTTCGTGTGTTTACTTTAGTGTCACAGTGAACTATGCTTGATGCCGCGCGAACAGCCGCGTCACAGGTCTTCAAATGTGTTCATTCTCAAAATCTTGCAGCCTTTCAACTCCTCAGTGTGGACGCTACAATTCGGCGTGTACTGGGAGGCGAGTAGGACTGCTAATTGGCACGAACAGTTTGCATCACTGAACAATAGACATCCAGTTCCAGGTTAATATGACAAAATGTAAGGAGATGCACTCACACTGACAAGCTCCCATCGTAAACTTAAGATCAAAACTTATGATCCGTGATTCATGACGAGTATTTACCATATGAAGAGAAAATAACCAATTGAAGTAAAGTAGGTTGCAATACACTGCTCATGGTCACTTCCGCAGGTGACTCAATCTCAACAGAAGCGATGTCCTACGAACCGCAATTCAGATGAGACCCAACTGTGGAAAATCTTGCTTTCGGCTGGATACGAACGAGCATCAGAAATAGCATACCCAGGCGCTCCACCAGCTGCGCTACGAAATCACGCCGGGAGGTCAGAACTTTTAACTGTTACCTGCTCAATCCATTGTTGCATATGGAAACCACCAAACCATCCAGCGGTTTAACTTTCCGAGAAAGACTTCTCGAACAGATCATGCTGGAATTATTAAAGGTACTGTTGAGCATTGAAACTCGCCTGATACGCCATCTTAGCGATATTTCACTGAAGTTACAATGTAAGGTGAACGGATTGACTTATGACTCAATATGTCTCAGCTGGGACATCTTGCCAGAGTCTGATTCGACTGTGCCACCAGTTCGTAAATTCAAATGCAAACACGGTACACATACAAGGCGCCTAGCCGAGTTTCACAATCATTTCAATGGAATGATCTTACGTTCACTCTCTCATTATCGTTGATAATCAGCCATTGCTTATTGCAAACAGAAGTACTGAACCGTCCGACTGCACATAAAAACGTCGGGTCGGCCAGAAATATAGGTAAATTCAATATCGTGCGCACCACACAGCTACTCAAAATGTAATAATCGGAATACAAGCTGAACCATCGTTTGGATCGAGACAACCAACGACGCACGAACAAGCGGACAAAGTTTCCGCACGATCAAACACACATCGCGCGCAACTGTCCTATAAGGGTTCACATGTCGACAACAGATGAACCATCTGGATTGACAAAACACATCATCTGCATAACAGGGTGGAGACGATAAGCCCGAAACACCCATTATTTGAAATATGTCTGAGACCGTTTGAGTTCGGAACAACTTGCGAGTGATCTGTGAGCTGGTCTCAAAGTGGTCTGAAGAAGCTTCTATGTCAAGAGTGAAAGGCTACCAATAAACCACGTTGCCGACTGCTCACAAGTTGTTCTGAATGTTCAATCGGTCTCATGCGCATTCCAACTAATAAATCCAATTGCGGACCTCGCGTTCGAAAGATATCAAGTGAACTAGTTCGTTTGGCTAAACGATGTCTGCTGGATAAATAATCATGTCTTCAGTATTCAGCGTCTTCACAATAATAACTGTTAAATCACCCAGTCAACGAAGTTCGTAAAGATCTGATCTGAAGAAATTTTGTGTCAGGAGTGAAACATTATAAACAAACTTAACTACAGATTGTTCACAAGATGTTCTGAAAATAAAACACCTAGTTTGTGGACAAGGTGATCGTCATAAAAACGTACATTCGACCATTGCTGTTTGTGCAGTCAGTTACATCGATCAAGCGTACCTGAGCAACCACATCGACAGACTTGGCACAATTCCCAGTGTTTGTGTTCCAAAATCGTAAAGTGTGGTCTGTTGTGCCTCCACCGGTGCACAACAGATTATTTTTCCACGGACACCAAGCAATAGCCTTGACAGCCGCCTGATGGTCGTTCAGTGTAACAGTCGGTTGCGTGTCTGCAGTTTGAGAAAGCATCGCGGTTGACCATATGGCCACGCAGTTGTCGTTTGCACCGGAGGCAAGGAAACGCTTATCGGTCGACCATGAAAGGCCACACACTTCCTGAAAAAAGATGCGGAAAAGTTGTGCATTAGTAGGACAACCACTAGGGACGATTGTGTGTGTATACGAATCTTATGATCACAACGTGGTGGAACCAACAGCTACGTGGTTTTCGTATTACATCAGTACATCCAAGTCGGAAATTGGAAGGTGCTATTAATGCACTTGATCTACGTGAACACTATGTGGGGTCACAGTTTTCACCAACTCCGTCGTAATCCAAGAGAAGTTTAAATCAGATGAAACGCTCCAAATAGAGACTGCCATGCATCTAGTAAGAAGGCTGCGTTGCGCGGCCTGGTTAATGTGGTGCGATAGATGTTCTCCTAGCCAACTAGCGCAAGTGATGTATTCCAGATATTTGACTCGTCAGCCTCTTAACAGGAGAATGCTAAAACCACACTGGGCAACTCGAACGAGCAATAACCGTAGTGTGAATCCCCCATGAAATCGGCTACATGTGAAAGCTTTTTTGGACGAAAGTAAAATTCGCTCCAGCCGATTCCTTGACATGAATGTACTAAATCCACTGACCTCTTGCCAACACCTGCCAACACCAACCGGGCATTCCATGTGTTCTTCGTTACGTGCGTCTGACTTATACTCGAAACCCATCATGTTATCGGTTGTTGTTCCAAACGGTCCTCCGTCAGAAGCAGAAGTGGTCTTGGAGCTCAAGTTATTGAAGCGTAATAAGGCACCTGGACCAGACCACCTCCTTCCTTCTCCTTTCATGGATGGTGGCGAGATCATCATCATCATCATCATAGACAGCAATACAACAGTGATTCACACTGATGCTTAACTGCCACGAGATGCTATCAGAATTGACAAAACTCCTCCAGACGATCTGGGAGATTGAAGAGGTGCCTCGTGATTGGGGCCTATCAACAGTCACTTCCGTTTTCAGAAAGGGAGTCCGAAGTCTACGTGATAATCACAGGGGCATCAGTCTAGTATCTGTTGCGTCCAACTTACTCACTGACCTCATTTTACGTCCGCTCACTAGGCCCAGAAAAAGTCAGATACGCGGAGAACAGGCAGGATTCCGATCCGATCGAGGGTGCATTGATCACATTTTTATCCTGCGACGTATTTTGGAACATCGGTACTGTTACAGATAGCCGACGGTCGTAGTCCTCTTGAACCTGAAGGCTGCCTTCGATTCAGTTGCCCGTAACGTTCTCTGCAGCTGTCTTCTCCACAAGAGAGTACCAGAGAAATACGTGAATCTACTGAGATCACTGTATGCTCACTCTGCAAGCAGGGTGAGAGTTTATGGACAACCGTATCGGGCGTTCATCACTTCTAGTGGTGTTCGTCAGGGGTGTCCGATTTCCCACTTCCTGTTCAACTTTGTCATGGACGACGTTCCCGAGGGTGCGCTTGAGAAGTCCAGTGAACTTGGTGTTGAGCTTCTTCCTGGCGCTAGATTGAGCGATCTAGAGTATGCGGACGACACTGTCTTACTTAGCCCCTCTGCCGAAAACATGCAGACCATGCTGGACAGGTTGAGCGACCGAGCTGGTTTGTACGGAATGCGAGTTGCACCTTCAAAGTGCAAAGTGTTGCTTCAAGACTGAGGCACTTCAACTCCCACTTTCTTCATTGCAGGTAACCCGTTTGAGACTGTGGACAGTTTCACATATTTGGGTAGCATTATCTCGTCAGCCTATAATACTGCTGATGAGATATCAGCGAGGATAGCAAAGGCACGAATTTCCCTTGCCAAACCGCGTCATCTCTGGCGTCGGAAAGACGATAGGTTGTCGCTGAAAGGAAGGGTATACAATGCCTGTGTGCGTTCCATTTTGCCTTATGGTTCGGAAACGTGGCCTGTTCACAAAGAAGATATCAACAGGCTTGCTGTGTTTGACCATCGTTGTCTCCGCCAATTGGCCCATATTAAGTGCACTGATCGTGTGAGCAATACGGCCGTTCGCCTGCGCGTATTCCGGAACGCCCGGGATGCGCGATCAATTGGTCACTACTTACGGTGCATAGTTTGCGATGGTTAGGTCAAGTACTTCGTATGCCAGCCGAGCGTTTACCGTACCGGGCATTATATAGTGAGGCCACCAACAGTTCGGTAAAACCGCGTGGTGGTCAACCAACAACGTGGTCACGAAATATGAAAACCTTGAGTGTTCCACTGAGCAGAGTGGTTAGATGTCGCCTACCCGGATGGGGTCCTCGTGATCACTCAAATCCCTGGTTAGAGACGCTGTCCGAGATGGCGGTGTGTCGCAATCAATGGCGTACCTGCATACATACCATTTCTAGTTCTTCCGGTTAGTCTTCTTTTATTAACTTTTAAACTTCTTCGTAGCGTTTTCTTCTAGGATATTCCACGTCACTATGGAGATGAGCGGCGGCCCGAGCCACAGTACCTTTTTTAGTCAAGCTTATGGCTGTTATGATGACGATGACGATCGGTTGTTGTTATTGATGTAAATTGTGTTGGTGGTTTTATCTAGGGCTACCGATGGCCGTATGATTAAGCAGTCAGTTATGTGGCGGACCTTCGTGGGACGACTGTCGTCATCCTGTCTTTCTGGTCCGACTTTGTGTCGCTGTATTATCGTTGTCTAACCAGGGTTCGGAACAAATTGCTTTTTACATATTTATAGACTAATCATTGCAACCAACAGAGTATCGATTAGTTTTAAGATCAATTTTCGTTTGAGTATTTCGTGACAAAGAGAGTCAAACGCGTTGCCCATCGTTCATCAGGTGAACCATATACCATATCTAGATGTGTTGTCTTGTAGTGTCATACATACATTCCTCATTGCATAACGCGATATCTAAGACAAGAAACTCGGCTCCGACGAACAGGATATCACCTCCGAGTTATAGATAAGGATTCTAAAGAATAATAGTAGTAGTGCATCGTCGATTAGTGAGTATGTAGATAAGTCTAAACTATTAAATACTTGCTGTGACACACTGCTACATTATGGACTCCTCAGAGCTCATATAGAAAGAACTGCACCAATATGCAGTTTCCCACTGAATTCTATGAAACGTAATCACTACACAACGATAGACATACGGTTACGAACATGAAAGAAAACAGTGAAACTCCAAAAATCAAGGTTACGAGCGCACATGACGAATGCCCGTGTTATCCACGTTCGGTTCTGGACCAAAAGACGGTGACCCACAGAAACCGTTTCAGAATACCCAAGGGAAAAAGAGCATAACACCAGCTGAAAATTAAGACCAACCTGAGTGTGAAAGTCACTGACACCCACTTCATGCTGAGCAACTCGTGTGTCATGTTGACGAATGTGACCTGATCGGGAGCCGCTTGTAACAATGTGTTCACGCCAAGTGACGACAGGCACTCGGCCTACTGCTCCTGTTTCACCTAGGCGCATAGTTCGGAGCAAAGATTGTGTTTCCGAGTTCCACAATTGAACACGTCCCATGCTCGTGCCGACGGCCAGAATTTGTGAGGCATCCGGTGACCACGATAGGCTTGTAATGTACTCGCCTTCTA